CCTTCATTTTAAAGGCATCCACTAACACCCTCGTACATTCATATTAATAGGCCCTAATGGCCAGCAATGCAGGCCAATCTATGATTTTTTTGGGGTTCAGTGACTGTGGGGGGATTGCTTCAGGCAAAGTCCCCTAACACCTGTTGTTATAGTGAAACTACAGTGTCGCTACACAAGTATAAGGCAACTTAATGTGAAGCGTTAACATTCTCTGACTGTGGAGTTCCCATTTTCTGATAGTATTTTACTGTATAGTTAGTTATGAACAAATCTGGAAAAAAAATGGGTAGCCTTTAAATTGCTGTGAAAACTGATGGATTTGATTGTAACAGGTGCTCCTATTACTTTACAAATGGCTATTACTACTATTATAAGCGATCTAATGCAAACTGCACAACCTATAGCGCCGGAGGATCTTCAGTGTGACTGTCTTAATATCGATAAAGAAAGAAGGCTTCACTAAAACAATGGCGCAATTAGCCCCGGCAGTAGATAGGCTATTGCTCTGTGATCTATCCGGCACCGCAACAGCCTAGGCTATCTTTCGCTGTGTGTTCCACCTGTAGCAAGCCGTTCTCGTCTATAACAAAAGGTTTCCATAGGAAGGTTTTCATTCCAATGGCTCTTCCTCATCATACTCCCTTGGAAAAACTAAACTGCTGAAGCGACAACATTCAAGGGAAACCGAGGGAAGCGGCGACAAACCTGAAAAACGTCATGTAGCGTGTTAAATGATGGAGATGTACTGATAATAACATGCGTTACATTATTGCCAGCCTGTGGCTAGAGTAGGCTACACAGTGAAAACTAAAATATAGTGTATCCATTCCTATCGCGCTCAGTACACACAGCAAATGTATCCACAACATTATCATTCTTCATCATGTAACACGGAAATTGACAGAGAAATACGTTATGGACCTGATTTGCTGAAATTTCCCCCATTCATTATAGACCGAGAGCTCAACAGGGGCGTGAAACAAATGCACTTACCTCTCGTTTCACATTCCATAGTAATTTCTCTTTGAATTCTTCATCTGTGGACGAACCCATGACTCTCCGTGGTCTTGTGTCAGTCTCTGTGACAGACGAAGTTACAGCCACAGCGTCAACGTGACTGTCCGCAATCACGGATGTCTGGTGCTTTCCGCCCTTTCTTAAAGCTTCTATTTACTTTTTCCTCCTCCTTCCTTCCTTCCCTCTCACAGCAATGTGCTCGTACCTCCTGATAGCAGGCCGTTGACGCATCTGTGTGCCCGTCCTGCCGCGGAGCATTGAGGAGCCATCTTCAGGTCCCCTCAAAATGACGCCAGCGGTGCTAGACCCGCCCCCTTTACCACTGTTTATCAATGGAGTAAATCACTTCACCTACCTCGTGCTCCAAACGCAGCTCCAGCACGATGACATGCAGTTATTTATAGCTCCCCTCCCCTCTCCTCTCCTCTCCTCTGTGTGTGTGTGTGAGGACTGGAGGATTGGGGGGTATTGAGTTGTGATGCTAAGCAGCATTTTAGCTGTAGTCTTTGTATGTAATATGAAAAGAGCCATAGGGGTTTCAAAGACAGACTGACTCACATAACAACAACACTGACAGGACACACACAAACACACAATACAAGACAACACAGATACACAAAATACCATAACTGACAACAGAAACAATCTCATTCATTTATTTTGGGCTCCATTCATGTGTGTGACTATCATTAAATTGATTAATTCGATTGTCAAATAACATGCCAAAGCAAATAGCCCTGCTTGGACTAGTGTTTAATTCAATTAAAATTACGAAATACATTACCATTATTCTGATCCATGGCATGGATTTGTCTGAGCCTATTTTGAGGCTAAGAATATCTTGAATTAAGATTGTCTTGAGGCCAGCGGCTCCCTGTTTTAGAAATGATGTCATCGCATGTTAGGCTGCAGTAGAAATAAATAAATGTGGTCATTAGCATCCTGATATACAGAATAACCTTTTTCACTGGGACCTTTTTCTGTCATTATACCTCTAACTAGGGCCCCATGTGGCCTGTCAATGAACTACAGTTGTCTGCCCAGAACCATGCCCGTTGCTTCCCTCCACTGGTTCCAGAACCATGCCCGTTGCTTCCCTCCACTGGTTCCAGAACCATGCCCGTTGCTTCCCTCCACTGGTTCCAGAACCATGCCCGTTGCTTCCCTCCACTGGTTCCAGAACCATGCCCGTTGCTTCCCTCCACTGGTTCCAGAACCATGCTCGTTGCTTCCGTCCACTGGTTCCAGTGGAATATGGACAGATGTTTCATGAGCTGAAATAAAAGATCCCAGAAATCTTCCATATGCACAAAAAGCTTATTTCTCTCAAATTATATGCACAAATGTGTTTACATCCCTGTTAGTGAGCATTTCTCCTTTGCCAAGATCATCCATCCACCTGACAGTTGTGGCATATCAATAAACTGATTAAACAGCATGATCATTACACAGGTGCACCTTGTGCTGGGGACAATAAAAGGCCACTAAAATGTGCCGTTTTGTCACAACACCACAGAGTTGAGGGTGCGCGCAATTGGCATGCTGACTGCAGGAATGTCCACCAGAGCTGATGCCAGAGAACTTAATGTTAAATTCTCTACCATAAGCCGCCTCCAACGTCGTTTTAGAGAATTTGGCAGTACGTCCAACCGGACTAAAAACCACGTGTAACCACGCCAGCCCAGCAACTCCACATCCGGCTTCTCCACACAGCAGGATCGTCTGAGACCAGCCACCCGGACAGCTGATTAAACTGTCCATAGGGGGAGTAGCAGGGGGAGGGGGGAGCAGGTAGCTGACTAGTGTTGGAAATTCAGCAGCCTGATGGTCTGAGTGTAGAAACTATTGGCCAGTCTTTCAGTTTTTGCCATGATGCTCCTGTACTGCCCACATCTGAGTGATTGAAGCAGGAAGAACAGGGCATGGCTTGGGTAGCTGTGGTTGCTGATGATCTTCTTGACCTTCCTGTGACACCTGGTGTTGTAGCTGTCCTGTAGGGCAGGCGGTGTCCACCCAATGGTGCGTTCGGCTGCACGTATCACCCTCTGAAGAGCCTGGCGGTGGAGTTGCCGCACCAGGCTGCGATGCAGTCGATGGTGTTCCTGTAGAACACTGTGAGGGCCCTCGGGTACAAGCTGAATTTCTTCAGCATCCTGAGGTTGAAGAGACGCTACGGTGTCCTTGTGGTTAGACCATTTCAGCTTCTCTGAGATGTGTACGCAGAGGAATTTGAAGTTATTGACCGTCTCCACCGCGGCCCCATTGATGAGGATGCTGGCGTGTCCAGCCTGGTTCCTCCTGAAGTCCACAATCAGCTCCTTTGTTTTGCTGACGTTGAGGGGGAGAGGTTGTTTACCTGGCACCATGCTGTCAGAGTGTCTACCTCCTCCCTGTAGGTTGTCTTGTCGTTGTTGGTGATCAGGTCTACTGCTGTCATGTCATCAGCGAACTTGATGATGGAGTTGGAAGTGTGTGAGGCCACGCAGTCGTGCCTGAGTGATGAAGCAATGCGAACGAGGAAGCAATTCTGCTGAGCAGCACAGTGAAGCCTGTTACACAAAGACTGGGTTTCCATTGTATTATTTGAAACGTTTTTATTATGGAAAATAAAGGAATAAAGATTAAACTGCATTAAAACACAAGAAGCACACTCTTAAAAGTGTTAAAGAGGACATTTCTTGAGTGAATACTTGATTTAAAAAAAAAACTGTTAATAAGCACGATCTGCCATTCATTAACCTCGTCCCCAGGCTACTGCACAAAGCATTGGGCCGAAGTATCTGGGAACGAGATTAAACATTCATAGGACATCTCTGAATGTGTCCCTCGTGTTAATTTCATTGAAAGGCTTTGGCATGATTATAGGTCAAAATGTGATATGAGGAACTCTCAAAACTATAAATATACACTCTAAAAAAAAAACATTCACCGTCTTCCCTGTCTATTGACAGAAGGCGATAGGGCTATGATAGTTGATTTGGATCCTATAACTTGTCACACAACGCCAAAAAAAGTATATAGCTGTATAATAAATGAACATTTGTCTATAACAGTCTGGTGGCTACCTATCAGTGGTCCGAGACCTATCTGATATGTGATTGGCTGCTGAAGTGATGACAGTATTGGGCCTGTCTCAAATGGCACCCTATTCCCTATATAGAGACCCACGGTGGAGTTGTCATAATACCCATAAAACCTAGCGGTCAAACAAGGAAATGGTTCCAAACGTTTTTCCACCATTCATTTTTCCCATAGGGTATTTTAGAAACACTTAAAAATAAGGGCTGTGTTTCATGTAGGTTTACCCTGGGGTGACGTTTTGATAACCATGTAAATCTCTCTAGGACAAGGTGACTTTTGTAAATATATTCGCCTGTATTTACCCATACTGTGGTACTACTGTTGGGACCTGGTCAAAAGTAGTGCACTATACAGGAAATAGAATGCAGCCTATATTATCCGACTACATTATCTGAATAAAGCCTATATTATCCGACTACATTATCTGAATAAAGCCTATATTATCCGACTACATTATCTGAATAAAGCTCATGTTGGAAAATATATCTTAACTGTTCTATTATGGACCGAGGTATAACATTAATACGTTCGCAATTTTGATTGTGTGAACACGGATTCGATTGTGTTGTGAAGAGAGTTCTATATAAAATTAAAAAGGAGAAATAGCATAAGCATCTCAACGTTTTAAAATCACGAGTTGTCCATTGACAAAGTCTGTCAGGCACCAGGGTGATGCAGCATGGCAGCCATTTTGTGCCCAATGGCCATTTTGGGGCCACCAACAACAGTGCCTCAGTGGTGGATGTAGTGAATGAGTGAACGAGCCAGCGGAGAGCCAGTTTCCTCCTCTGTGTTTAGATGGCACCCTTTTCCCTACTTTTGACCAGAGCCTGTGCATTGGATGAGGAATAGGGTGGCATTTGGAAGCCATCACTCCCTCTCACCAAGGACTGTAGCAGAGCCATCACTCCCTCTCACCAAGGACTGTAGCAGAGCAATCACTCCCTCTCACCAAGGACTGTAGCAGAGCAATCACTCCCTCTCACCAAGGACTGTAGCAGAGCAATCACTCCCTCTCACCAAGGACTGTAGCAGAGCCATCACTCCCTCTCACCAAGGACCGTAGCAGGAAGGATATGATAGGGTTGATGAATCATCTGACCATTATGAGGCCCTCATTGAGATGTGACTGACGGTGAGACGGGGAGCCCTTAGTGTCCCAGCGGCCGGTCGTCGTAGGCGCTGTACCTCTTGACGTGGATGCGGCGTACGCGCTCCCTAAGGTCCACCCCCGAGTGGGTGGGGCCTTCCTCCTCCTCGCTGTGGGAACCACAGTGGGCGTGGCGACGGCGTGTGGCCTCCAATAGGGTGTCGTCAGGGACAGGAAGTGTCTCGTAGAGCAGAGCGTTCAGGGTCTCCTCGTAGATCCTGGCCTCTGGGAACTCCACCTGGGATAGAGACAGACAGACGGACAGACGGGGTCAACATGAAGATTAGCTGCAGGACAAAACTTGTGTGTGTGTGTGCGCGCGTGTAACTCCGAACCAACCTTGGTCTGTTTTTTCTCTGTGGCGTAGACTATGGATGTGCAGCAGACCTCCGCCAGCTTGCGTCCCTGTCCGTAGAACGACCAGCAGCAGATCTCGTCACCGATCACGTCCTTGATGAAGAGAACGCGGCCATTGTAGCTCAGAGACAGCTTGTCAAACAGCTCAATATTCTTCAACAGGTTGTCGTCTGAGTTACTGTGGAGGAGTACAACCCATAGGTCAGGAGGTACAGGAAGTATTTCATTGTCAACACAGTACATGATGAGTGGTCCTCTGTAGCTCAGCTGGTAGAGCACGGCGCTTGTAACGCCAGGGTAGTGGATTCGATCCCCGGGACCACCCATACGTAAAAATTTATGCACACATGACTAAGTCGCTTTGGATAAAAGCGTCTGCTAAATGGCATATTATTATTATTATTATTGTGCAGTCTCCCGAGTGGCGCAGTGGTCTAAGGCACTGCATCGCAGTGCTAGCTGTGCCACTAGAGATCCTGGTTCGAATCCAGGCTCTGTCGTAGCCGGCCGCGACCGGGAGACCCATGGGGCGGCGCACAATTGGCCCAGCGTCGTCCAGGGTAGGGGAGGGAATGGCCGGCAGGGATTTGGCTCAGTTGGTAGAGCATGGCGTTTGCAACGCCAAGGTTGTGGGTTCGTTTCCCATGGGGGGCCAGTATAAAAAAATAATAATGTATGCACTCACTAACTGTAAGTCGCTCTGGATAAGAGCGTCTGCTAAATGACTAAAATGTAAATTATTATTATATGCCCTCACTAAGCACTTACCTACAGTCATTAACTATTATTGACTCTCCAAACAACAGAACAGGCATAGGGTTCACTAGACGTGTAGTAGTACCTGGTATAGGAGTACTTGTTGTTGCTTCTGTTGTACAGCAGCTTCACTACAGGCTTGGTGCAGGCCTGGATCAGTCTCTCCTCCTCCTTGGCAGAGGTGACCACAGGGATTACACACAGAGACTGCTCCTTCTGGTCCTGTTAATCAAACACACCACAGGGATTACACACAGAGACTGCTCCTTCTGGTCCTGTTAATCAAACACACCACAGGGATTACACACAGAGACTGCTCCTTCTGGTCCTGTTAATCAAACACACCACAGGGATTACACACAGAGACTGCTCCTTCTGGTCCTGTTAATCAAACACACCACAGGGATTACACACAGAGACTGCTCCTTCTGGTCCTGTTAATCAAACACACCACAGGGATTACACACAGAGACTGCTCCTTCTGGTCCTGTTAATCAAACACACCACAGGGATTACACACAGAGACTGCTCCTTCTGGTCCTGTTAATCAAACACACCACAGGGATTACACACAGAGACTGCTCCTTCTGGTCCTGTTAATCAAACACACCACAGGGATTACACACAGAGACTGCTCCTTCTGGTCCTGTTAATCAAACACACCACAGGCAGGCTGGTATAGTACATAACAGACACCACGGGCAGGCTGGTATAGTACATAACAGACACCACAGACAGGCTGGTGTAGTACATAACAGACAGGCTGGTATATTACATAACAGACACCACAGGCAGGCGGGTATAGTACATAACAGACACCACAGGCAGGCTGGTATTGTACATAGAGAGAAAGAGGTCCAGAACCAGTCTAAATGCCTGGTTCCACTCTCACTGGCTCTGTGCTGCTGAACAATACAAAGGCTTTGTGTCAGGACATATAGTAGGGCTCGGGTCAATTCCATTTCAACAACTCAGTCAGGTCAGAAGGCGAGGTGAAAGTTCCTTTATTGATTGAAGCACGCTCACAGAATTGGAATGGACCGGAATTTAACATTCACCTCCTCCATATAAGAGTGTAAAGATGGTTGAAACTAGGGTTGGTGGTATCCAGATTTCCATACCTTCATACCGTGCTTGTGCCATCCCAGGATATATGATATTACCGGTAGTGCACACAAGGGGCACTATTTTTTTCTACAAAATAATAAATAAATAAACTCTTACCAGATTGCTAACAAAATGCTAACAAGTACTAAGGCATTCTCATAGCGGATGCTAGGTAAATGCTAATGAGCGCATGCAAACCTTTATTACTAGGACAGACAACCCAGCTCATAAAGTTATGCAAGAATCTCAAAACACAGTTTGCAGCATGCACAATACAAATATTAGGCAGCAGGGATCTTAATCCAGGAGGAGATTGTGTACTGCAAGCTAACGTTAGCCACTTAGCTAACATTAGCAAGTTAGCAAAACCCAGCTGGAGAGAATTTAGCACACATTAGATAGTTAACTTCATAGTTATAAGATATATGGCTGGCAAACAGTAGTGAAGTGTAACTTGATCACCTCACTTAAGTTGTGCTGCAGAAGTGACTCACCTCACAAAGCTCCCACAAAGACTTTCATAACTGTCGTTTCCAACGGGAACAAATGAGTGGGCAGAACAAGCAAGGAAGTGGGCAGAGCCAAGCACGAGTTAGCAAGATCCTATTTAGTGCATTCTAGCAAACATTTGCATATTTCCGTTAGGGAACGCCTACTCTGAAGTGTGCAATAACTCAATTCGCCTTTGCACTTCTTCTAAACAACACAATTTTTTGAAACTTTTGCAAAGATTGAAGCCCACAAAACTGTCCACTGTGTTCGTAACAGATTTTAGTTTTGGGAACATAAAACTGCATTGAGATCAAATGTTTCATTGATGAGAAAATTTGCAGAATGTCGGCCAAAATTCATCCACGCTACCTAAAATACTAACGAGCGCAATGCGAACATTTTGTACAGTTTCTGACCTAAACTATTACATTTACGTCATTTAGCAGACGGAAACCACGGAAACCATGTGTTTGATACCATTCCACTAATTCTGCTCCAGCCATTACCACGAGCTCGTCCTCCCCAATTAAGGTGCCACCAACCTCCTGTGAAGTATACAAGTAACTCAAAAACGCTACTCACAGTTTGCTGCACGCACAAAACAAATATTAGCTTGCAAGGCTCTTGATCCAGGAGGGGATTCTCTGCTGTTACCAAACGAATGCTTGATTTTGGAAGAAGCTAACCACTTGGCTAACTAGCTACTAAATTAGCAAACCAAATGCACAACTGCAAAGCATTTACCACATTTTAGACAATTAATTTAATAGTTATAAGACATCTAGCTGGCAAACATGTAGTTGTGCATTTCCTACTGTAATTTGATCACCCGGAGCATGTTGCATTTACATTTTAGTCATTTAGCTCTTATCCAGAGTGCATACATTTTCCTACTGGCCCCCCGTGGGAAACGAACCCACAACCCTGGCGTTGCAAGCGCCATGCTCTACCAACTGAGCTATAGGGGACATTGCATGACAGAGAGTGACTCACAAAGCTCCGGTCTCTCGTCATTGCGTGGGACTACCGTAGATTTCATAACAATGTGAAGCAATGTCCTTAATCTCCTAACTTTTTGACCAAATTGACTGCAGGTATTTACTTAAGTAGTTTAAAAAAATATTCAAATTCATAAAAATAAATAAATAAATAGTTTTAAAATGGTATTGAAAAACCATCCTGAGGATTTTTCCAAATACCCGGTATAGGGTATACCGCCCAACCGTGGTTTAAACTTGTATTCACTAAACTACCACAAGTGTAGAGCATATTACATCAAACATTGTACAAACCTTAAGCATCTCTGAGGTAGAGCATCTCTCTTATAATGCAATCATTTCAGTCTTAAGACTTGCTCAAAGATTTATTCATATAAGCATCTGAGCAGTAAATTCCAATCTGAAAATGACGACTACACTTCATTCATAAACCGTTTAGTGACCAAAAAAAAAAAAAGGGGACATGAATGAAAGCCAGAGCGTTTTTTTTTATTCAACATGGCATTGATTCAAGACTCCTCAGCATAGACGTGGTAAAGAGGTTAATGGAACGCAGACCATGGGGGATAGATGAAGGACGCTGGATTGGCGCGCATTCAAAAAATCTGATCTAACGAAGTCGATATTCGTCAAATCCGTAATGATTTATGTTTTGTAACAGGCCCACAATGTGGTAACTAAAGTCTGATTTGGATAGATTTGGCTGTTTTCACTGCATGACAATTAGAAGTTGTCCCTTTTCAGGTTTAAAAGAACAAGTGACAACTAAATGCTAACTCCCGTTGGTACAAGCTGGTAGCATAGCTAGCATACAGAAATCGGTGGTGATAGTCAGTCGTTTTGAACTGTAATGCTGTTGGTTGGTGACGATGACATGAACATGTATTGGGGTTGACATCCATACAAGCATTATACAGATTTTTTCCTCAACAGTGTGAAATACACATAGAAACAGTAGCCTAAAATGTAGGCTAATTTTGCTGGGGGGGGGGGGGCAATGAGGAGATTCAGGATCTTTCCCCCCCACGCATTTCCATTGTTTTGGTCAGGTTCGATTGATCTCTTTACCGCATGTATCGCTGTCACCATGGAGACAGCAGAATCTCCCAAGTAGAACCTTGGCTAGTCCAAATACTGAATGCCAGGCATTCCAATTAACATCACACTCACAGCATCCTAAATGGTACACTATTACCAATTTAGTGCACTAGGGGCCCTGGTCAAAAGTAGTACTCTACATGGGGAATAGGGAGCCATTTGAGACGCAAACACATTATACCCACTGCCTCTAGGGTTGTGACATCATGGAATTTTGAATGACTGATTGGCCAGCCAAATGATGATGATGGTGGTCCCCCCATAATAACGGTTCGAACAGCAAAATCAATTTAAAAAGTAGAGCATGGCGCTTGCAACGCCAGGGTTGTGGGTTCGATTCCCAAGGGGGCCAGTATGGAAAATGTATGCACTCACTAACTGTAAGTCGCTCTGGATAAGAGCGTCTGCTAAATGACTAAAACGTAAAAAAATATATTTTTTTAAATTTATTTTACAGTTGTTTTTAGACAAACATTTTCTCCTCTCCTGACTGCATATGCTGCCATAGAAATAGAATGAATAGAACCGGCATCCCCATTCAAGTCAATGATGGCGTAATGGGTGGACTGGCGCCCATTGCGAGTGTACCCTTCGGAAACAAAGCAGGAAGTAAAATATGTGCTTAAATATACAGTCGTGGTCAAAGGTTTTGAGACACAAATACTAATTTTCACAAAGTCTGCTGCCTCAGTTGATGATGGCAAAAGAGTGATCAGATGAATTGCAAATAATTGCAAAGTCCCTCTTTGCCATGAAAAAAAAAAAATGTCCACTGTATTTCAGCCCTGCCACAAAAGGACAAGCTTCCATCATGTCAGCGATTCTCTCGTTAACACAGGTGAGTGTTGACAAGGACAAGGCTGGATATCACTCTGTCATGCTGATTGAGTTAGAATAACAGACTGGAAGCTTTAAAAGGAGGGTGGTGCTTGAAATCATTGTTCTTCCTCTGTTAACCATGGTTACCTGCAAGGAAACACGTGCCGTCATCATTGCTTTGCACAAAAAGGGCTTCACAGGCAAGGATATTGCTGCTAGTAAGATTGCACCTAAATCAACCATTTATCGGATCATCAAGAACTTCAAGGAGAGAGGTTCAACTGTTGTGAAGAAGGCGTCAGGGCGCCCAAGAAAGTCCAGCATGCGCCAGGACCGTCTCCTAAAGTTGATTCAGCTGCGGGATCGGGGCACCACCAGTGCAGAGCTTGCTCAGGAATGGCAGCAGGCAGGTGTGAGTGCATCTGCACGCACAGTGAGGCGAAGAGTTTTGGAGGATGGCCTGGTGTCAAGAAGGGCAGCAAAGAAGCCACTTCTCTCCAGGAAAAACATCAGGGACAGACTGATATTCTGCAAAAGGTACAGGGATTGGACTGTTGAGGACTGGGGTAAAGTCCTTTTCTCTGATGAATCCCCTTTCTGATTGTTTGGGGCATCCGGAAAACACCTTGTCCGGAGAAGACAAGGTGAGCGCTACCATCAGTTCTGTGTCATGCCAACAGTAAAGCATCCCGAGACCATTCACGTGTGGGGTTGCTTCTCAGCCAAGGGAGTGGGCTCACTCACAATGTTGCCTAAGAACACAGCCATGAATAAAGAATGGTACCAACACATCCTCCGAGAGCAACTTCTCCCAACCATCAAAGAACAGTTTGGTGACGACCAATGCCTTGTCCAGCATGATGGAGCACCTTGCCATAAGGCAAAAGTGATAACTAAGTGGCTCGGGGAACAAAACTTCGACATTTTGGGTCCATGGCCAGGAAACTCCCCAGACCTTAATCCCCTTGTGGTCGATCCTCAAGAGGCGGGTGGACAAACAAAAACCCACAAATTCTGACAAACTCCAAGCATTGATAATGCAAGAATGGGCTGCCATCAGTCAGGATGTGGCCCAGAAGTTAATTGACAGCATGCCAGGGTGGATTGCAGAGGTCTTGAAAAAGAAGGGTCAACACTGCAAATATTGAATCTTTATGTAATTGTCAATAAAAGCCTTTCACACTTATGGAATGCTTGTAATTATACTTCAGTATACCATAGTAACATCTGACAAAAATATCTCATAACACTGAAGCAGCGAACTTTGTGAAGACCAATACTTGTGTCATTCTCAAAAAACGTTTGACCACGACTGTACACTACATGACCAAAAGTACGTGCTCGTCGAACATTTCATTCCAAAATCATGGTTATTAATATGAAGTTGCTGCTACAACAGCCTCCACTCTTCTACTAGCAAGGCTTTCCACTAGATGTTAGAACATTGCTGTATGAAAATGTATGCACTCACTAACTGTAAGTCGCTCTGGATAAGAGTGTCTGCTAAATGACTAACATGTAATTGCTGCGGTGACTTGCTTCCATTCAGCCACAAGAGCATTAGTGAGGTCGGGCTGTTAGACCTGGCTCGCACTCCGCGTTCCAATTCATCCCAAAGGTATTCTTCTTGAGCCACTCCTTTGTTGCCTTGGCCGTGTGTTTTGGGTCATTGTCATGCTGGAATACCCATCCACAACCCATTTTCAATGCCCTGGCTGAGGGAAGGAGGTTCTCACCCAAGATTTGACGGTACATGGCCCCGTCCATCGTCCCTTTGATGCGGTGAAGTTGTCCTGTCCCCTTAGCAGAAAAACACCCCCAAAGCATAATGTTTCCACCTCCTTGTTTGACGGTGGGGATGGTGTTCTTGGGGTCATAGGCAGCATTCCTCCACCTCCAAACACGGCGAGTTGAGTTGATGCCAAAGAGCTCGATTTTGGTCTCATCTGACCACAACACTTTTTCCCAGTTCTCCTCTGAATCATTCAGATGTTCATTGGAAAACTTCAGACGGGCCTGTATATGTGATTTCTTGAGCAGGGGGACCTTGCGGGCGCTGCAGGAATTCAGTCCTTCACGGCGTAGTGTGTTACCAATTGTTTTCTTGGTGACTATGGTCCCAGTTGCCTTGAGATCATTGACAAGATCCTCCCGTGTAGTTCTGGGCTGATTCCTCAGCTCTTTGGTCTTGGCGGAGAGTTTGGAATCTGATTGATTGATTGCTTGTGTGGACAGGTGTCTTTTATACAGGTAACAAGCTGAGATTAGGAGCACTCCCTTTAAGAGTGTGCTCCTAATCTCAGCTCGTTACCTGTATAAAAGACACCTGGGAGCCAGAAATCTTTCTGATTGAGAGGGGGTCAAATACTTATTTCCCTCATTAAAATGCAAATCAATTTATAACATTTTTGACATGCGTTTTTCTGGATTTTTTTGTTGTTATTCTGTCTCTCACTGTTCAAATAAACCTACCATTAAAATTATAGACTGATCATTTCTTTGTCAGTGGGCAAACGTACAAAATCAGCAGGGGATCAAATACTTTTTTCCCCCCTCACTGTATACTATATGTGCTGTTTGTTGATTCAACTCAACTGACATTACTGCTGCTGCATCGTGGTGGGCATTGCCTAGGCAACTAAATACCTGTTTCCTCGTTTCAGCAAGGAACCAAACATGTTTAATCACATTGTTAAGAGTCCATGTTAGAGCCGAAACTGTCTCAACCACACGAATACCCAGCCGTCCCGTCTTCAGTAAGCTGTTCGTTCCACAAAAGTTTTTTTTACGGTTATGATGGTTATTTTATTTTCATGACAGTCTTCATCCATAACCATCGGTTACACTGTAATTGTGTCAGCCCTAACTGCCACTGATGGTAAACAAACAGTAGTGTTGTCCTATAGCCACTAACAGAGTAGACACACTAGTCAAAGCAAATCAAATATCACAACGCGAGGAAGCAATCTGTGGAGCACTTGTTCAAGTTGGCCAAAACGGCAGCAAACAAACATACATTACAATCTGTTGCCTTCATGCACAGATCTAGCATCTAGCAAAGCTGCAGGTTGGAACACACAGCCTGCACCTCAAGCACCCTATTCCCTATGAAGTGCACTACTTTCGTCCAGAGTCCTATGGGCCATTTGGGGAGCACGTCGCTCTCCGTATCACTGACCTGCAGGCCTCCCTGGCACAGCTCCATCAGACCCTGGATCAGGTAATACTTGGCCTCTGCCAGCAGCTCCAGAACCCCCTGCCTGCCAGGGGGCAAGGTGACCGCTTCCTCCCGCAGGTACGTCAGGATGGAGCCAAAGTGCTTCCCACTACGATCTATCAGGATCCAGCCTGGAAAGGACCATGCAAGGCAAATGAAAGGCAACGGTCAGTTCCGGTCCAATCTTTATAGTAGCATAGTTCTGTGTATCTTTTTGATGATGTGCCTGCCATAAGGCCTGTACATGTACATCTAAATGGTATTTGTAATCATTGCTGATGTTTGTTGCTTTAGCCATCTGTTCCATTCCGAAGTCTAGTATTAGACTAAGTAGAGTTCCCTCTATGTTTCTGATCCATAAGAGCGACAGACTTTTTGGAAGGGAACTCAGCCTTTCGTAATTGTTAATTGACAGTCCTTCTCACCCTCTCTGTCAATGAAGACCTCCTTCCTGCCACTGAACATGGCCTTCAGCATGGAGTCCTGCCTGGTGAGCACCTGCAGCGTGGTGTAGAACAGGGTCCCCCCTACGTTCAGACGCACGTACTTGTTACCCAGGCCCACCGCCGCTCTGTAGCTGCACGTCTTGGTCTTGGGACACGCCATCTGGGAGGCTTGGGAGGGGGAGAATAGGATGGAAATGTCTCTTCGGCATCACCATACAAGAATTTAAAAGATTGCATACACATCATATATATTCAAAACTGTCAGCCTAGCACAATGTATAGCCTACATAAACACAGAGGATATTGGCACGTTCATTCATAACCAACCACTGCGCTTATTGCCCACTGTTCCATGTATACCTTCATGGGGAGGTCTAATGGCTTGGGAGCCAGTGGAGATGGCCTGGGTCTGAGGGTGGAGGAGCAGCCGGTGCAGGGGGAGCTGGCAGCTGTCCCCGGACATGTCCCTCTGGAGGTAGATGACCACCCTGCAGACGGAGGTCCTGGTGTCCCCCGCCGTGGTGACCGCTACTGGGGGGGCCGCCACAGCCTTTCACGGGCCCTGCAGATCATACCTGGTGGAGGGGCGCAATAGAAAACCACCGCTTTCTTTAGGCCTTGCCCTCAAAGCCCTGGCCTGTGCTGAGATGGAACGAATTGGCCTTGCCCTCAAAGCCCTGACTGGAACGAATTGCAAAAATCTCTGAAGCTGGAGACTCTTATCTCCCTCAATAACTTTAAGCATCAGTTGTCAGAGCACCTTACCGATCACTGCACCTGTACACAGCCCATCTGAAATTAGCCCACCCAACTACCTCATCCCTATATTGTTATTTATTTTGCTCTTTTGCACCCCAGTATCTCTATTTGCACATAATCTCTTGCACATCTAGCATTCCAGTGTTAATACTATTGTAATTATTCTGCACTATAGCCTATTTATTGCCTTACCTCCATAACTTGCTACATTTGCACACACTGTATATATATTTTCTGTTGTATTTCTGACTTTGTTTTTTTTTTACCCCATATGTAACTCTGTGTTGTTTTTATTGCACTACTTTGCTTTATCTTGGCCAGGTCGCAGTTGTAAATGAGAACCTGTTCTCAACTGGCTTACCTGGTTAAATAAAGGTGAAAAAAAAAAAAAAAAAAAGATGCTCTGACCAATGCGATCAGAAGTAAAACCCCAATAGTCGAGAACGTTGTGAACACAATGGCGTGAGGAAGCCACCCACCCAATCAGTGTCTTCCTCTCGATTTCCCTTTCCCCTAGCATGGCATGTGGCTGGACCCACTACACTGTGTGTCCATCTTCATACAATAAACAAACTGTCTTATTTGGGAGAATGTCCCCAAAAACGTTGCATACCAGAGGCAGACAGTCTGTCTCTGGGGAACTTTGATTCAGATGGGTGCAGTAGTGTAATTCAAACCAACACAGGAAGTTGTGTTGTAGTCCCGTGTAGCTCAGTTGGTAGAGCATGGCGCTTGCTACGCCAGGGTTGTGGGTTCGATTCCCACGGGGGGGGGGGGAAATGTATGCACTAACTGTAAGTCGCTCCGGATAAGAGCGTCTGCTAAATGACTCAAATGTAAATATCAATCCATTACACATATGGTTACTACTATGAAATACAATGTCATGTATTTTCATAACGGTCATGGCATAAATCCTAATAAATAGTCAAATTAGAGACTACTAAAATACGCATACAACGTCAGTACATATAATTATGAGATACGGCTAACTAACCAGCAACATGCCACATAGGGTTGAGTCACAAATTGTATTTCAGCTAGCTACCTAACATTAGTCGTGCTAGCTACTGGCTAACTTACTGTACAAATTCAAGATCATTGAGACGAACCTGAATGACCTAGTCCTAGTGTATAATAACTAGCTAACGTTAGCTAACAAACCTAACTTGAAAGATAATGAGTAAAATGTGTGACTTTTCTCCTTGCCACCCCGGCAAAAGCTAGCTGAAGAAACTAGTTAGCTAAGATTAGCTAGCTAGCATATTTTCAAGATACTCACCCACGCCATCTTTCTCTTGGGGTAATTCGTATTGTTGAACAGGTTAGTACATTGGAAGCTATGTTATGTAGCTACGCCACCTAGAATACGCCAACTACAATTGCAAATATTCACAAGGCAACGACGTTTAATAACTTTCCCCAACTACAGAAATGTGTGCTACTACAAATCATGTTTGCGCTTGCGTACTACAACTCCCATCCCCTCCCTACCGGAAGTTACACTAGTTGGTCAAACACAACGGTTCCCTGGCAGCCGAAGTGCTCTGTGGATTATGCCACATAATCACCACATTTAAATACATTTAAGGTAAGCGATGACTGACTCGAAGAGTACTCAATAATAATTTGACTTTTGCACAGATTGTAGCTAGCAACTCACGCTCGGCTAATAGCTAGTCAGCTAGCTGAAACAGTTGGCTAGCTATTTTGCCCACAACAGGACAGTCCGATGAGGGCATCAGGACGAGCTGTGAGATAGCTAATTAACGTTAGCTATCAAGATAGCTAGCTAAGTAGCTAGACGGTACTGAAGAACCAGCTCTTCTGTTTGAACGTTATAACTACCGGCGTTAGCTAGCGAGCTACAGAACATTGCCAAAGTAGCAGCTGGCTAGCACTGATTAACGGTTATTGCATATGTGCCAACTAATTCATAACTAATTAATGTCAGATAGGTAGCTATTGATTAGGCAAAGGTCACAGAATCAAACTGTATGTATTTTTTGGTGTAAATATTTTCCTAACTGGCTATGCTCTCTTCTTTTCACACCTAACGTACTCCTCAAGCTTACTAATGCAGAAACGGTCATCAAAATTGTTAAACGGTTAAAAAAAAACATTTGGGAATAACTGCAACAGTTGGACAATGGATGACGATACTCCAAACTTTTTGAATATTTATATGCTATTAGATAGACTGAATTATAGAGCATAAAACATTTTACTGGCATGAACAAATAATGAATGTTCAGGGATTTTGGTGGGAATTCAGGTATTTAATTTATTGTAAAATGTCACTCTTTCTTATAATGCACTCATTTTCTTATTTTATCAGATTTTGTTTTATTTCATTTTGTTAAAATAAAGGCAGTTACAGTGCATTTGGAAGGTATGAAAATGTATGCACTCACCTAACTGTAAGTCACTCTGGATAAGAGCGTCTGCTAAATGACTAAAAATTTAATGTAAAATGTATTCAGACCCCTTAACTTTTTCTACATTTTGTTATGTTACAACCTTATTCTAAAATGGATAAAATTACTTTTTCCCTCATCAATCTACACACAATACCCCATGATGACAAAGCAAAAACAGGTTTTTAGAAATGTTTGCAAATGTAAAACAATTAAAATAATAAACTTAAGTATTCAGACCCTTTGCTATGAGACTTGAAATTGAGCTCCGGTGGATCCTGTTTCCATTGATCATCCTTGAGATGCTTCTACAACTTGATTGAGTCCACCTGTGGTAAATTAAATTGATTGGACATGATTTGGAAATGCACACACCAGTCTATATAAGGTCCCACAGTTGACAGTGCATGTCAGAGGGTGATGTACAGTGGGGAAAAAGTATTTAGTCAGCCACCAATTGTGCAAGTTCTCCCACTTAAAAAGATGAGAGAGGCCTGTAATTTTCATCATTAGGTACACGTCAACTATGACAGACAGGATTTTTTATGAATTTATTTGCAAATTATGGTGGAAAATAATTTTTTGTCAATAACAAAAGTTTCTCAATACTTTGTTATATACCCTTTGTTGGCAATGACACAGGTCAAACGTTTTCTGTAAGTCTTCACAAGGTTTTCACACACTGTTGCTGGTATTTTGGCCCATTCCTCCATGCAGATCTCCTCTAGAGCAGTGATGTTTTGGGGCTGTCACTGGGCAACACGGACTTTCAACTCCCTCCAAAGATTTTCTATGGGGTTGAGATCTGGAGACTGGCTAGGCCACTCCAGGACCTTGAAATGCTTCTTACGAAGCCACTCCTTCGTTGCCCGGGCGGTGTGTTTGGGATCATTGTCATGCTGAAAGACCCAGCCACGTTTCATCTTCAATGCCCTTGCTGATGGAAGGAGGTTTTCACTCAAAATCTCACGATACATGGCCCCATTCATTCTTTCCTTTACACGGATCAGTCGTCCTGGTCCCTTTGCAGAAAAACAGCCCCAAAGCATGATGTTTCCACCCCCATGCTTCACAGTAGGTATGGTGTTCTTTGGATGAAACTCAGCATTCTTTGTCCTCCAAACACGACGAGTTGAGTTTTTACCAAAAAGTTCTATTTTGGTTTCATTTGACCATATGACATTCTCCCAATCCTCTTCTGGATCATCCAAATGCACTCTAGCAAACTTCAGACGGGCCTGAACATGTACTGGCTTAAGCAGGGGGACACGTCTGGCACTGCAGGATTTGAGTCCCTGGCGGCGTAGTGTGTTACTGATGGTAGGCTTTGTTACTTTGGTCCCAGCTCTCTGCAGGTCATTCACTAGGTCCCCCCGTGTGGTTCTGGGATTTTTGCTCACCGTTCTTGTGATCATTTTGACCCCACGGGGTGAGATCTTGCGTGGAGCCCCAGATCGAGGGAGATTATCAGTGGTCTTGTACGTCTTCCATTTCCTAATAATTGCTCCCACAGTTGATTTCTTCAAACCAAGCTGCTTACCTATTGCAGATTCAGGTGTATTTGCATATATGGATAAGTTAACATAAAGTGGTGGAACAGGGCTGCAACAATCTAACACTTATTCTGTCTACCCTACGTGCACTCACCTGCGCTGTCCAGACTGCCTCATTCATTACTGTTGGTTTAGTTAATTAGCATTCCCTTTAGCTACTGCAGTTATAGACAAGAACAACGGAAGATATTACATTAAAATAAGCATTGGAAAGACCCCTAGAGACGACAACATACAATTTACACACTATTCGTATTCTTATATACATTACAGTTAAATTAGATCTTTAGAAAGAGGAGAGGCGCTGTGATCCAAGATGTTTATTGAAGTTGCTTTTTATTTCAGCGCATCTCATTTGTAAACATTTCAACTGTATTAAATTATTACTTTTTTTCAATTCCTCAAAATAATGAACACCCATTAATATCTTTCTTCTTTCTCAAATAAAATGTTATTGGTCGCGTACACAGCGGATGTTATTGGTCGCGTACACAGCGGATGTTATTGGTCGCATACACAGCGGATGTTATTGGTCGCATACACAGCAGATGTTATTGGTCGCATACACAGCAGATGTTATTGGTCGCATACACAGCAGATGTTATTGGTCGCATACACAGCAGATGTTATTGGTCGCATACACAGCGGATGTTATTGGTCGCATACACAGCGGATGTTATTGGTCGCATACATAGCAGATGTTATTGCGGGTGTAGCTAAACGCTTGTGATGTACACTACCGTTCAAAAGTTTGGGGTCACTTAGAAATGTCCTTGTTTTCCAAAGAAAAGCAAATTTTTTGTCCATTTAAATAACATCAAATTGATCAGAAATACAGTGTAGACATTGTTAATGTTGTAAATGGCTATTTTAGTTGTAAATGGCTGATTTTTAATGGAATGTCTACATAGGCGTACAGAGGCCCATTATCAGCAACCATCAGTCCTGTGTTCCAATGGCACGCTGTGTTTGCTAATCCAAGTTTATCATTTAAAAAGGCTAATTGATCATTAGAAAACCCTTTTGCAATTGTTAGCACGGCTGAAAACTGTTGTGCTGATTTAAAGAATTTTGCACCTCTCAAACACAGGAAATGGATGGCTGAAAAAGACAGATCCTCAGGTGGGCGGGGGCATGTGCGTTGCTATACTAATGTGACACCCCTGACCAAAATAATACAAATCCCCAGGTTGTTTCACCTATTCCGCCCGTTTAGATCAGTGCAGATGAGGAAAGGAATCCACTTTAACACTATTAAGATGCTGGATAAATAAAGGTTAAATAAAAAAAGCTTCCATATTATCCAGGATGTTAAATGCAGTGTTTTTCAGCCCCCATCTACAGTGGGGAAAAAAAGTATTTAGTCAGCCACCAATTGTGCAAGTTCTCCCACTTAAAAAGATGAGAGAGGCCTGTCATTTTCATCATAGGTACACGTCAACTATGACAGACAAATTGAGGGAAAAAAATCCAGAAAATCACATTGTAGGATTTTTTATGAATTTATTTGCAAATTATGGTGGAAAATAAGTATTTGGTCACCTACAAACAAGCAAGATTTCTGGCTCTCACAGACCTGTAACTTCTTCTTTAAGAGGCTCCTCTGTCCTCCACTCGTTACCTGTATTAATGGCACCTGTTTGAACTTGTTATCAGTATAAAATACACCTGTCCACAACCTCAAACAGTCACACTCCAAACTCCACTATGGCCAAGACCAAAGAGCTGTCAAAGGACACCAGAAACAAAATTGTAGACCTGCACCAGGCTGGGAAGACTGAATCTGCAATAGGTAAGCAGCTTGGTTTGAAGAAATCAACTGTGGGAGCAATTATTAGGAAATGGAAGACATACAAGACCACTGATAATCTCCCTCGATCTGGGGCTCCACGCAAGATCTCACCCTGTGGGGTCAAAATGATCACAAGAACGGTGAGCAAAAATCCCAGAACCACACGGGGGGACCTGGTGAATGACCTGCAGAGAGCTGGGACCAAAGTAACAAAGCCTACCATCAGTAACACACTATGCCGCCAGGGACTCAAATCCTGCAGTGCAAGACGTGTCCCCCTGCTTAAACCAGTACATGTCCAGTCCCGTCTGAAGTTTGCTAGAGTGCATTTGGATGATCCAGAAGAGGATTGGGAGAATGTCATATGGTCAAATGAAACCAAAATAGAACTTTTTGGTAAAAACTCAACTCGTCGTGTTTGGAGGACAAAGAATGCTGAGTTTCATCCAAAGAACACCATACCTACTGTGAAGCATGGGGGTGGAAACATCATGCTTTGGGGCTGTTTTTCTGCAAAGGGACCAGGACGACTGATCCGTGTAAAGGAAAGAATGAATGGGGCCATGTATCGTGAGATTTTGAGTGAAAACCTCCTTCCATCAGCAAGGGCATTGAAGATGAAACGTGGCTGGGTCTTTCAGCATGACAATGATCCCAAACACACCGCCTGGGCAACGAAGGAGTGGCTTCGTAAGAAGCATTTCAAGGTCCTGGAGTGGCCTAGCCAGTCTCCAGATCTCAACC